AGTAACATTTCTTTTTCTTTTAATGTTATTGTTGGGACTGTGACAAATGTTCCTTTATCCTCCCCACCCCCATTGCCTCCCTTCACCTGGTTCCTGACCCCAATCCAGGGCTTTACCACCCTGTGTCTATAGGTAATCCATATATGCGTAGAAGATCTTTGGTTAATCTCTTCCCACTACACCCCCCCCCCACTTCCCTATGAGATTTGTCAGTCTGTTCCATGTTTCCATGCTTCTGGGTCTATTTTATTTATCAGTTTATTTTGTTCATTCAATTCCTTGTTTGGGTTTTATTTTGATTTTTAGATTAAATTGTTGATAGATGAGTGTTTTTTGCCTTCTTCTTCTTCTCCTTCTCCTTCTCCCTCTTCCTCTTCCTCTTCCTCTTCCTCTTCTTCTTCAAGAATACCTTTCAACCTTTCATGTAATACTGGTTTAGTGGTGATGAACTAGTTTAGCTTTTTCTTGTCTGTGAAGCTCCTTACCTGACCTTCAATTCTAAATGATAGCTTTGTTGGGTAGAGTATTTTTGGTTGTTGGTTCTTGCTATTCATCACTTTGAATATGTCTTACCACTCCCTTCTGGCCTGCAAAGTTTCTGTTGAGAAATCAGCTGACAGCCATATGGGTGCTCCCTTCTAGGTAACTAACTGCTTTTCTCTTGCTGCTTTTAAGATTCTCCCTTTTTCTTTAACCTTTGGCATTTTAAGTACAATGTGTCTTGGTGTGAGTCTCTTTTGGGTTCCTCTTGTCTGGGATTATTTGCACTTCCTGGACTTGTAAGTCTATTTCTTTCACCAAATAGGGGGAGTTTTCTTTTGTTATTTCTTCAAATAGGTATTCAACAACTTTCTTTCCTTCTTCTCCTTCTGGCACACCCATAATGTGAATGTTGGTATGTTGGAAATAGTCCCAGAGGCTCCTTACATTATCTTCATCTTTTGAGGTTCCTTTTTTCTTATTGCTCTACTGACTAGATGTTTTTTGCTCCCTCATATTCCAAATTTTTGATTTGATTTTCAGAATCCTATACTCTACTGTTGAATCCCTGTAAATTATTTTTTATTTCAGCTAGTGTATGCTTAATTTCTGACTGGTCCTTTTTCATGTCTTTGATGTTCTCAAAAAGGTTCTTGAAATTCTCACTAAGATCCTTAAAAGTCTCACTAAGTCCCTTAAAACTCTCATTAATATTCTTGAGCAACCTTATAACCATTGTTTTGAACTCTGTATCTAGTAGCTTGCTTGCTTCTATTCCATTTATTTCTTTTTTTGGAGATTTCTTCTGTTCTTTCATTTGTGACATGTTGTTTTTTTTTTTTGTCTCTGTATTTTGGCTGCTTCCCTGTGTTTCTTTCTATATATTAGGTAGAGCTGCTATGTCTCCTGGAATTGGTAGAGATGCCTTATGTAGTAGGTTTCCTGTAAGGCCCAACCTCCCCAGTCACCTGAGCTGGGCACTCCAGGTGTGCTCCTGTGTGGACTGTGTGCGCTGTCTTATTGTAGTTGAGCCTTGATTGCTGTGGGCCACACTGGGAGGAATTGAATCCCAGTCCAACTGCATGTAAGGACCAGCTGTAAGAATAATGGAAGAGATGCTGTGCAGGAGATACCCCTATAGAGGAGGAATCGCTTCAATGAGTCTTTGGTGCTTACCGAGTCTACCCCTTGAGTGTGTCACTTTGGATGTGTAGAGGTGTAATATGGTATAATCTGAATATGTCCACCAGGTACACTGGCTCTGAGGCCTCCTGGGAGGTGCAAAGTCAACCACTGCCTGGGGCCACCTGGCAGGAGTCACAGAGCAATCTGCAAATGGCTGCTATTTACAACGGGCTTGGAAGTGCCTAGGTGAAGCCAAGCTGTCTTGGGCCTCTTATTTATTAGTATAGGGCATGCTGATGCCAGGTGATACTTGTTTAAGAGATTTTTAGAAAGTTTGAAGCCTGAACCAGGACAGGCCATTCATATGTCAAAACCACTGCAAAGAGCTTGGGTGGGGCTGCAAATTGAATAGGGTGGTTTCTCAAGGAATCACCAGGGCAGAGCCAATAGTGTGAGTCAAGCTGATTGAAACTCATATATGGCTGCCAGTCAGCTCTGCAGTGTGGGAGGTTCCAGCACTAGAACAATGATCCATGTGAACACCCCTGTCTGGGAGAAAATCACGTTCTTGACCTGATCTCAGACAATCCAATCCTTCCCCAAATGTCCCAGGTTCCTTTCAAGCTGCCATCCCAGCATTGGAGCCTAAAGGGATCGAGTGAGTCTGAGTAAGTCTGCATGCTGGCTCTCTAAGAGGAACTGCCTGGGTCTCCAGTAGCCCCTGTGTCACTCAGCCACAATTCCCACTGGTTTTTACAGCCCAAAGTTATGTGGGCTTTTCTTTCTAGCTTTGGATCTCAGGACTGGGAGAATGGTGTGGGATTGGGACCCCTTATTCCTCATGAGAGGCCTCCACAGCCACAATATTCCCACATGAGTATGTCAGACCAGCCTGTTCTGTGCCTCCACCCCTCCTACCAATATTGATGTGCTTTCTTCTTTAATTGTCTAGTTGTAGTGCTTCCATCCAGCCAGATTTCAGGTGGTTCTGACTGATGATTGTTCTGTATTGTGGCTGTAATTTTTTAAAAATATATTTTATTGATTTTTTACAGAGAGGAAGGGAAAGGGATAGAGAGTTAGAAACACCAATAAGAGAAACATCGATTAGCTGCATCTCACACGCCCCCTACTGGAGATGTGACCGCAACCAAGGTACATGCCCCTGACTGGAATAGAACCTGGGACCCTTCAGTCCACAGGCTGACGCTCTATCCACTGAGCCAAACCAGTTAGGGCATGAGACTGTAATTTTGATGTGGTTTTGAAAGGTGGAGAGTTCCAGTGTTTACCTATTCTGCCATCCAGTAACATTTCTTTACATTAACGATAAATTAGTTGAAAAACCAGTAAAGAAAATAATCCAATTGAAAATAGCATTAAAAACAACAAAATAATCAGGAATAAATTCATCTAGGAAGTAAAAAATCTCTACTCTGAAAATTATAAGGCTTTGATAAGAGAATTTGAAAAAGACACAAGTAAATGGAACAGCATCCTGTGTTCATGGATGGGAAAAACTAATATTGTTAAAATGTTCATACAACCCAGACCATCTATAGATTCAATGTAATCCTTATCAAGATTCTTGTTGCATTTTTTAGTGACGTAGAAAATAATCCTAAAATTTGTATGGAACCATAAAAGACTCTAAATAGCCAAAGTAATCCTGAGAAGGACCAAAGCATGGGCATCACAATTCCTAATTTCAAGCTATACGAAAAAGCTATAGTAATCAAACAGTAAGGTATTGGCATAAAAAAGAATTCTTATTCATATATGCATAACCCATCGACACAGACAATAGTGTGGTAAAGACCTGGGGCAGAGGGTGGGGCATTCTAGAAGGGGTCAATGGGGAAACATATGGAACATATGTAATACTTTCAACAATAAAGATTAGAAAAAAGATGCATAAGCCAACAGAACAAAATCAAGATCTCAGAAATATATCAGTGCATTTACTATAAACCAGTATTTGATGAGAAAGCCAAGAAAACTCAATGGAGAAAATATTTTCTCTTCAATAAATGGTGCTGGGAAAATTGGATATTCGCATACAAAAAAAATGAAACTAGACTTCTATCTTAAACCATTCACAAAAATTAACTCAAAATAGATTGCATACTTAAATGTAAGACTGGAAATCATAAAACTTCTCAAAGAAATCATAGGAAAAATCTCCTTGACATGGGTCTCAGCAATGATTTTTTTGGCATGTGACTATTAAAGCACAAGCAAGAAAAAAATAGTAATATATGTGGGACTACATCAAACTAAAAACTTTGCACAGAAATAAAAAAGATCAACAAAATGTAAAGACAACTTAAGGAATGGGAAAATATTTGAAAGCCGTGTGTCTAATTATGGATTAATATCCAAAATATATAAAGGACTAATAGGTGCATGAAAATGTGCTCAACATCACTAATCAAAAAAGGAAAATGCAAATCAAAACCGCAGTGGGTGGGTGGAAGGTAATCAACCAAAGACCTTGTATGTATGTATGCATAAACCATGGACACAGACAACAGAGTGCTGAAGGCCTCTATCCTTATTTTAAAAAGTCTAGTGGCACTATATTAATGGGGGGGAAAAGTGGAAATATGTAATAGTTTCAGCAATAAAGATTTATTTAAAAAAAACATAGTGGGATATCACCTTAAGTCTGTTATGGTAGCTATCATAAAATAGAGATAAAAAATAAAGACAAGAATGTAGATAAAAGGCAACACTTGCGCATTGTTGGTGAGATTATAAATTGATGCAGCCACCATGGAAAACAGTACGGTGGTTCCACAAAATATTAAAAATAAAGCTATCACATGATCCAGCGATTCCACTTCTGGGAATATATCCAAAGTCACTGAAAACACTTTCTCAAAGAGATATCTCCATCCCCATAATCATAGCAGTATTATTTATAATAGCCAAGATATGGAAATGGCTTACGTCCATTCACTTAAGCTGTTTCCATTTATTGGCTGTTGTAAATAATGCTGCTATAGTTATATGTGTATTAGAAAAACTACATATATGTATTTGTATATATGTAGTTTTTACTATATATAGGGTGTTCCCAAAGTGTATACATATTTTAAAGCTGATAACTCACTTAATTTTCACTCCTTTTAAGGTTTAGCTGATTTAAAATAATGGGTGAAGCCAGACTAAGCTTTGAACAGAGAAAATATAGTGCCACTAGACTTTTAAAAATAAGGATACATAAAAGATAAGGTTTACTGTACAAAACTGGCAACAGTTGATGAATTGAGGGTGTACAAATGCCGAATGAAATGATTCTTGATGTGTGGGATTCCATTGCTTCACATTATCAGCAGTGCCTGGACCAGAAAAGTCATCATTTTAAAAGCAGGTATTGACAAAAAAAGAAAATACTCATTTCTGTAGATTCTTTTAAATTTTAAAAATTAACTGTGTGCTAATAAACACTGAGTTTATAATCATTCAAATCGTGTATACATTATTTTGGGACACCCTGTATGTGTAGGATAAATATTCATCTCTGAAAAAGAAGGAAACCTGGTATAGGTGACAACATGAATGGACCTTAGGGGCACTATGCTAATTGAAATATGTCAGACAGAGAAAGACAGATACAGTATTATCTCATTTATATATAAAATATAAAAAAAAAATCTTATAGAAAAAGAGATCAGACTTGTGGGTACCAGCGTTTGGAGGGATTGGATGAAGGTGTTCAAAAGGTACACACTTTCAGTTATAAGATAAACTAGTAGCCTAGTGCATGACATTTGTGCACATTAAAAGGGAAATAATTAGAGGAAATATTTTAATATTGCTATTTGCCCTTTCTTCATAAAAGAAGTGTCAGAGATGAAAGAAAATTAGTAAAATGTATATGAAAATCCTCCTCCTGTCAGAGTCTGGGGCATGCCTTGGGACCCAGAGTCAAGTCCCCACCCACCCGTGTGCACCTCAAAATTGCACGAGACCCAGACATGGCCAGCCCCAGCCCCATTGGGTGAGATCCAGAATTGGCTGGCCCCACTCCCATCAAGCCCCGCTTGATGGGGGGTGCAGCATCAAGGCCCCCAGGGAAACCTGAGGTCCCCTGGCCCAGTGCCAGGGCACGGGGGCATGGCCTGAGGTCCCCCATCAAGCCCTGCTGGGCCGGGGGCATGGCTTGAGGTCCCCCAGCCCAGCGCCAGGGTAGAAGGTGCAGCCTAAGGTCCCCCAGCCTGGGGCAGGGGGTGCAGCCTGTGGTCACCTGTCAAGCCCTGTTGGGCTGGGGGCATAGGTTGAGGTCCTCCAGTCGGGCGCCAGGGTAGGGAGTGTGGCCTCAGGTCCCCCAGCCTGGGGCAGGGAGCACAGCCTGAGGTCACCCAGCCCAGTGCTGGGCAGAGGGCACAGCCTGAGGTCCCCCGTCAAGCCCTGTTGCATAGGGAGGCATGGCCTGAGGTCTCCCATCAAGCCCTACCAAGCGGGGGGCGCAGCTCAGATCCCCCGCTCCAGCCTGGTGCCACATAGCCTCATGTCCCTGCTGATCACTCATTACAGCTCATTACAGGAACCCCACCTTCGATGTGAGCGCAGCCATCTTGTGTTATGGGAACCCTGCCTCGGCTGTGGATGCAGCCATCTTGTAACAATGTAACAGAGTGAGGGTCAATTCACATATTACCTCTTTATTATATAGGATAAGTACTAGGAATGTAATGTACAATATAACTATAGTTAACATTGTTGAATGGTATATTTGAAAGTTGTTAAGAGAGAAGCTCCAAGAGTTCTCACCACAAGAAGAAAAACAGTTATTAATTAAAACACTGGATATTAACTACACTTATTGTGGTAACTTTACAATATAAGTAACTGAAATAATTATGGCTGTACAACTTAAGTTATACAGTGCTGTATGTCAATTATATCTTAAGTAATCTGAAAAAATATACAAAAATAATAACTAAAAAAGAAAAAGAGAAAGATGCAATACTACATATTGATAAAATATAAAGAAATGCACAGAATTTCTCATTAGATACAGAAATAGCATTTGACAAAAATAAATATCCTTTCATGATAAAATCACTAAACATTCCAGGAATAAAAGAGAACCTCCTCATCCTGACAAAGATCATCTATAAAATCCAACAGGTGACATCATATTTAACGTTTTCCACCTAAGACCAGTGGTTCTCAACCTTCCTAATGCTACGATCCTTTAATACAGTTCCTCATGTTGTGGTGACCCCCAACCATAAAATTATTTTCGTTGCTACTTCATAACTGTAATTTTGCTATTGTTATGAATCATAATGTAAATATCTGATATGCAGGATGTATTTAGGCGACCCCTGTGAAAGGGTCGTTTGACCCCCAAAGGGATCGCGATCCACAGGTTGAGAACCGCTGACCTAAGACCATCAGGAAGAGAAAAATATCTTGTACCACTTCTATTCAACACTGTACTACAGTTACTAGCAATTAGTCAAGAAAAAGAAGTAAAATTTTACACAAGTAAAAGCTATCTGTGCTTGTCAATGGAATTCACTGTTGTCTACTATAAGTAATATACTAGTTTTCAGAATACAAGTTTGATATACAAAAATCAATGAGCAATCCAACAATTATATTAGGATAGAAATTTCATTTAAAATAGTATCAAAAGGAGTTATATACTTCAGAATAAATTTAACAGAATAAATGCAAGCATTATCTACTTAAAACTAGAACAAATTGTTTAAAAATTAAAAAAGATGTAATAAGTGGAAAGGTATACATGGATCAGAAGACTCAATATAATTAATATGGCAACATTCCTAAATTTCTATACAATGGAACATAATCTCTATATATACTTCAGGTGGCTTTTTTTGCAGAAATTGACAAGGTGATCCTAAAAGTCATATGTAAATGCAAGGTACCCAGAAGAGACAAAATGAATTTGAAAATAATTCAGTTGCAGGACTCACTTCCCAATTTCAAAACTTATAACAAAGTTACAGTAATCAAAACAATGTTGTATTAGTGTAAAAATACACATATATAAATAGATACGCAAATGGACAGATTATATACCCAGAAATAAACTCTTACATATGATCAATTGATTTTGAGAAGAATAGCAAGAGCATTCATTGGGGAATGTATAGTGTTTTTAGCAAATAGTGCTGTGACAGCTGGATATACATATGCAAAAAAATCAAAGTTAACTCCTCCCTCATTCCATATGCAAAAACTATATCAAAACAGATGAAAGGCCTACATATAAGATACACAAATATAAGATTCCTAGAAGAAAACATGTCAGTCTTCACTACTTTGCCTTAGATATTTTCTTTGATACAACACTGAAAGCATAAGTGATAATAGGTATATTGAACTTCATCAAAATTAAAAACATTCATGTATAAACATTACCCTCAAGAAAGTGAAAAGACAGCATATGGAGTGGGAGACAATATTTGCAAATCATAAATATAACAAGGACTAATATAGAGAATATATAATAAACTGAACACTTACAACTCAAAAAGAAAAACAATTAAAAATGTGCCAATTATCTGAATAAAATTTTCTCCAGATAAAATATTCACATGGCTATTAAGCACATGAAAAGAAGTTAACATTATTAGCTATCAGAGCAATGCAAATCAAAACCTCTATGAGATATTTAACACCCATGAGAGCCACCATAATCAAAATGACTCATATAAATATTGGTTCAGATGTGGAGAGATTAGGTTCCTTATACATTGATATGGGAGTGTAAAGTGGTACAGGAACTTTAGAAAAAGTTTTTTCAGTTTCTCAAAATGTTAAGCATAGATTTGCAATATGAACTAGAAATCCATTCTTAGATATATATACCCCGAAAATGTGAAAACATAGGCTCCTATAAAAATTTGTATGTGAATGTTCATGGCATTATTCACAATAGACAAATGTAGAAAAAATCCGATGTCCAGTAACTAATGAATGGCAAAATACATAAGGAGTAATATTGTAGAACAATAAAATGAAGTATTGATACTACAACCTGGACAACCTTGGAAACATTATGGTAACTGAAAGAAACCAGTTACAAAAGACCACAAGTTGTACAATTCCATTTGTAATCATATCTAAAATAGCTAATTCCACAGAGATAGAAAAAATATTAGTGATTGTCTACTGCTGGGATGGGGGATTTGGTGTGCTAATGGGTACATAGTTCATTTGTGAGGTGATTAAATGTTCTCAAATTAGATTAGGGTGCTACTTGAACATCTCCCTGAATATATTTTAAAAAACTTAATTATACACTTCTTTTTTATTTATTGATTTGAGAGAGAGAGAAGAGAGAAGCATCCATTTGTTGTCCCACTTATTAATGCATTCATTAGTTGATTCTTGTATGTGCCCTGACTGGGTATCAAACCTGCAATTGTGGACTATCAGGACATTCTAACAAACTGAGCTACCTGGCCAGGCATACCGGTTAATAATGCCGATTTTCAATAGATGGATTTACACATAGGTTCATATATATGCAACTTGATATGTATGCTATTTTGTTGTATTCACAGCAAGCTTCAAAACTTCATATGTCAATTTTTTGAAGGTGTTAACATCATAGATATTTGTACACTTAAAAATGTTGAATTTAGTGCCAAAAAAAGAGCATTTGAGGGAAGTTTTAATTCATTATTTTGAAGTAAAGTGCTGCTGAAAGTTATTGTATACTTTGGGAAGCTTATGGTGAACATGTTCCATCTCAAGGTACCTGTGAAGGCTGGTTTACTTAAAAAATGATGATTTCAATGTGAAAAACAACGTCCAGGTCAAACAAAAAAGTTTGAAGACCAACAATTACAAGCATTATTGGATGAAGGTGCCTGTCAAACTCAAAAACAACTTGCAGGAACATTAAACATTGCTCAGCAAACGTGCAAGGGGAAAGATTTTAAAGGAAGGAAAATGGGTGTCTCATCAACTGAACGAAAGACAAACGGAAAACAGAAAAGTCCTCAGTAAAATGTTGCTTCAACAGCACAAAAGAAAGTCTTCTTTGCATCAAATTGGGACTGGCAATGAAAAGTGGATTTATTTCGCGAATCCCAAATGCACATAATTATGGGTTGATCCAGGTCAACCATTTACACCAACTCTAAGGCCAAATCGCTTGGGAAAGAAGACAATGCTCTGTGTTTGGTGGGATCAGGAAGGTGTGGTATATTATGAGCTTCTAAAACCAGGTAAAACCATTAATACTGGTCGCTACCAACAACAAACAATCAATTTGAACCACACTGTGATCGTAAAAAGACCAGAATGGGCCAGAAGACACGACAACGTAATTTTGCTTCATGATAACCCACTAGAAAAGTCATCAGTAAAATGTTGCTTCAACAGCACAAAAGAAAGTCTTCTTTGCATCAAATTGGGACTGGCAATGAAAAGTGGATTTATTTCGAGAATCCCAAATGCACAAAATCATGGGTTGATCCAGGTCAACCATTAACACCAACTCTAAGGCCGAATCGCTTGGGAAAGAAGACAATGCTCTGTGTTTGGTGGGATCAGGAAGGTGTGGTATATTATGAGCTTCTAAAACCAGGTAAAACCATTAATACTGGTCGCTACCAACAACAAACAATCAATTTGAACCACACTGTGATCGTAAAAAGACCAGAATGGGCCAGAAGACACGACAACGTAATTTTGCTTCATGATAACCCACTATCACATGCTTCAAAACCAGTTAAAGACACGTTAAAAGATCTTGCCTGGGAAGTGTTAACCCACCCGCCGTATTCACCAGACCTTGCTTCTTCAGATTACCACTTGTTCTGATCGATGGCACATGTACTTTCTGAGCAGCACTTCAAAACGTACGAAGAAGTGGAAAATTGGTTCTCTGAATGGATTGCCTCAAAACAAGAAAAGTTCTATTGGGACGTTATTCACAAATTACCTGAAAGATGGGGGAAATGTGTAGCTAGTGATGGACATTACTTTGAATAAAGCGCTTTTGATGTTTCTCTTAAAATTATTGTGTTTTCTTTGATTACAAAATCTGCATTATTAATCAGTACACTGGTATACACTTCTAATATGTAAATTCAAACTATGTGAATTTTAACGCAATAAAGTTCTGTAAAATTATACCTGCTAACTAAAGCCATTCAATACAGACGACTGTTACTTTTTTGAAGTTGCATATTTGCCTGATAATTATTTTAACAGTTACTGAATGTTACTGACCTTCACTTTCCTCAGAGCAAAATATCATTTGTACTGGTTCAGAATTCCATGATGTTTAAAGTTTTCACAACTATTAAACTTATATGTTTATTTTTTTAAAATCCTCCAAACCCCAGAAATACTAATGAAAGTTGGAAGGCACTACTGAAGCACTTTCACTAATAGGGATAAATACATTGAACTTATAAAGTATATTTTAAAAGAAGCTCAAAGTGTTCTGCTTTTATTAACTCCTAAATCTTTATGAAGTTCATGAAGGATGGGAATGCAGTTAATTATTAAGCCATAATGATAATTGCAACAAAAATTATTGTAGCACTTATCTTCCAAAATGTTCCTATATCTTTACATAGATTCTTGCTAATTATTAATCTTTAATAATTAAAAACTAATGATACATAGTGGACTAACAGCAATGGCATGAAAAGTGAATGGCACTTTGGAGACCAATAGGGCTGCAATATGTCCTCTAAGAGTGAGGTTAGCCTTGCGAGTTTTTGAAATGTAACTGGGCTATGATATCCTAGTACAGGGGGGCCTTGACTTACAAGTTTAATTCATTCGGTGACGGAGCTCGTAACTCAGATTACTCGTATGTCAAATCAACAGTGAACGAGTGAGACACATGATGCTGGGCTGATGTTATGGCATTCACTGTGACGTTCCCTGCGCCAACTAGCGGTGGGGTATCTGAAGCTGGCTCGTAACCCGAATTTTAGCTCTCAACTCAAAACAAAAAATCAGCAGAGAGACGGCTCGTATCTCGAAAAACTCATTAGTCGGGACACTTATAAGTCAAGGCCCCACTGTATAAACACCTCCTGACAATTTCCTTACTACGACTTTAACCTTATTATGATTCCCAAGGGGCTGCAAAACAGAGCTGATTTAAACTTTTTAGCATCCTTTAGGATTCCCTCAATTTGTACTCATTCTCTAAGATAGCTTGGAATTAGACTATCCTTCAGGACTAGGTTGAAGATACCAGGTGCAACAAAAAGAAGAGGCAAATATCTCTGTTACATATTCCCAGGATCAGAATTGTTGCTTATAGTTTCATAGCTAGAAAGCTTTCAAGATGGCCATACATTCTATTTTTCTAAGTCATGATGTTACAGTAATACAGCTTGGTAATGAATTTCATTAAAATCTTGGAGGATAACTAACATGGATTGAATGCTTGTGTCCCAGCTGAACTCACTTGTTGAAACCTAATGTGATAAAAAAAAAGAAGCCTACTGTGATGGTATTTTGAGGTTGAGCTTTTAGGAGATGGTTAGCTCATAAGAATGGAGCCCTCAAGAATGGGATTAGTGCTGTTACAAAAGATACTTCCTTACTCCACCTTATGAAGACACAGTGAGAAGACGGTCTTCTATGCATTAGGAAGCAGGATCTTACCAGACAGAATCTGCCAGCACCTTGATTTTGAGCTGCCTGGCCTCCAAAACTGGGAGAAATAAATATTTGTTGTTTAAGCTACCAGTCTATGGTACTTTTGCTATACCATAGCAACCCAAATAGACTAAGATGCTAAACCTGATTTACTACACTTCCCCAGGCTGCCTTGTTTTCCCCAACTATCAAGTAATTAAAAGAAAGTGGGGAGGGGCAAATGATGCCCCAAGGGTTCTAGGCAAACAGTCTCTCCCATACTGTCTCAAGTCAAGTTGGAGGAGGTCTCGCATAATATAAAGAGAAATACATGGGATTTTAATCAATAGATGATGGTGAAGTTGATAGCTGATCTCCAGTCTTCTCTCAGCCAGCACTACAGCTATTATTTCCCCAACTACAATATGATATTGCAATATTTTACTTGAAATAGAATATAAAGACCTAAACTAGCAATTTAATTGACTTTCTAACTGTGAGGTTGTAAGTATAAGAAAATTTATACCATAGAGCATGCAAGGAGCCTTGCACAGCTTGTGCCATTTCTTTTCTTTTTTTAATATATTTTTATTGATTTTAGAGAGGAAGGAAGAGGGAGAGAGAGATAGAAACATCAATGATGAGAGAGAATCATTGATTGGCTGCCTCCTGGATGCCCCCAACTGGGGATCGAGCCCGCAACCCAGGCATGTGCCCTTGATCAGAATCGAACCTGGGACCCTTCAATCCGCAGGCCGATGCTCTATCCACCAAGCCAAACCGGGTAGGGCATTGTGCCATTTCTTGATACAGCATTCCTGAGAAGTAGGTGTTACTAACTATATTATACAAATGAGAAAACTGTCACAAGGAAGGTTATGTCACTTGCCCCAAATCACACAAGTAAAAAGTGGCAGAGCCTAGGTTGAACCAAGGTATATCAGACTCTAAGCCCACGCTTGAAATTATGTCAGACTGCCTTTCTTTAAAAAGATTACTCTTTAAAAATTAGCTAAGTTTTATTCCATTTAAAATTATTTATATAAATTAAATCCCTTTGAAAATTTTTTTTTTTTAAATTTTATTATTTATTACAAAGGGTATTACATATGTGTCCATTTTTTCCCCCCGCCCAAGACAGTCCCCTAGCCTCCCCCATCCCCCAGTGTCTTATGTCCATTGGTTATGCAAAATAGAGACTTTAAAAAGGTATAACTATAGGATAAATTGCCCTTATGGGAACAGTAAGTTTATGAAAAATTAAAAATTAAAAATTTACTCTCAGACATCCAAATACTCTAATGCATCTAACATTGTTAGGGTGTACGGTAAAGCAGGGGAAAAAACATGATATATTTTTGAGTTGTATTGTAATTCTCACATGTGCTGACTGTGTGCTCCTGGGCAAGTTATTGGAATGTGGATTAAGTATCTGTATGTCTAGATGGCCATGGAAATTAAGTGAGTCAGGTATATAAAGTAAATGCTGATGCCTGTGTAAAACTCTCAAAAATGCTAAATGTATTGTTAATACTAATGGCCTGGTGCACAAAATTCATTCACATTAAAAGGTAATTAATTAGAGGAAATATTTTAATATTCCTATTTGCCCTTTCTCTATAATAGAAGTATCAGAGATGAGAGAAAATTAGTAAAATGTATATGAAAACCTTTCTTCTGTCAGAGTCTGGGGCACACCACAGAACCCAGAGTCAAGTCTGTGCCCATTCACGTGCACCTCGAAATCGCATGAGACCCGGAACCAGGCAGCTCCACCCCCATTGGGCTAGATCCTGACTTGGCCAGTCTCGCCCTTATCAAGCCCTGCCAAGTGGGGACACAGCCTGAGGTCCCCTGGCCCGGCGCTGCGGTGGAGCTGCAGCCTCAGGTCTTCTGGCCTGGTGCCAAGGCAGAGGGCACATCCTGAGGTCCCCTGTCAATCCCTGCTAGTCGGGGGGCATGACCTGAGGTCCCCCATCAAGCCCTGGCAACAGGGCGGGGGGAGTGGCCTGAGATCCCCTGCCAAACCCCACCAGGGGGGGTGCACGGCCTCAGGTCCCCTGGCTTGCCACCAGGATGGGGTTGCAGTCTCAGGTCCCTTGGACAGGTGCCGGGGTGGGGGGCATGGCCTGAGGTCCCCCGTCAAGCCCTACCAGGTGGGGGGGTGCACTTTGAGGTCCCTTGTCAAGCCCTGCTGGACTGGGGGTGCTGCCTCAGGTACCCTGGCTCAGTGCTCGGGTGGGGGGTGCATCCTAAGGTCCCCCGTCAAACCCTACCAGGTGGGGGGCATGGCCTGAGGTCCCCTGGCCTGGCACCAGGGCAGGGGGAGTGGCCTGAAGTCCCCTGTCAAGCCCCACAAGGGGACATGGGGGGGGGCGCGCAGCCTCAGGTTCTTGCTGATTGCTTGTTAAGGCTCATTACGGGAACTTGGCCTCCACTGTGGGTGTAGCCATCTTGTTATGGAAACCCCCAGCCTCCGCTGTGGGAACCACCATCTTTGTGGCTG